ACTACGAAAAGTATTTTTTTTCTTGGGATGAAGTCTCGCTCTGTCACCCATGCTGGAGTGCAAGGGCATGATCTTGGCTCACTGCAACCTCCACCTCCCGGGTTCAAGTGATTCTCCCACCTCAGCCTCCAGAATACCTGGGAGTACAGGCATGCACTACCACACCCGGCTAATTTGTATTTTGAGTAGAAACAGAGTTTCACCATGTTGGCCAGGCTGGTCTCAAACTCCTGACCTCAAGTGATTCGCCCACCTCAGCCTCCCAAAGTGCTGAGATTACAGGCATGAGGCACCACACCCAGCCTACAAAAGCTATTTGTATACAAATTAGAACGAGAAGTTTCTGTTCAGTTTCAAATTCCAAAACTATGAGACATGAGATATATATCAAATCTGTGAAAATTATTCTCTATGAAGTACACAAAAGAAACCTATACTGGAATATGCAACCTTGAACTCCTGGGCTCAAGTAATTCTCTTGACTCAGCCTCCTAAGTAGCTAGGACTACAGGTGTATACCACCACACCTGGCTGATTTTGTATTTTTTGTAGACATGGGGTGACTCCATGTTACCCAGGCTGGTCTCAAACTCCCAGGCTCAAATGATCTGACCATCTTGGCCTCCCAAAGTCCTGAGATTATAGGCATGAGCTACCATGCCCAGCCAATACTGTTTTTAAATTTGTCTTATATTAAATGAAAGGGTAGTCTTACCTGGATGCTCATGTCAAAAGGAGTCAACTCATCTTCACTTTGAGATTCAAACATAGCCCTGGAAGCATCAACCAAAAAAATCAAACTATCTCTTCCTGAATATTTGTAGTCTCCTATACGGAAAAAAAAACAAACAAACAGAAAAAAATGTTTGTCCTTGTAGTCATATTTATCATATAAAACAAACAGAGCAAACGCCATAAAGCAAAGTATTACCTAATCAATTATAAGGTAAACAGCCATAAAATCTCCACCTATGTCAGGAAATTGAGCCTTGCTAGACAATCCAGAAATCCCTCCTATATTCCTTCCCAATCACAACACCCACCTCCCCAAAAAAGTCCATATCCTGACTTTTTGTTTCCTTTTTTTCTTTTTTGAGACAGAGTCTCACTATGTCATCCAGGCTGGAGTGCAGTGGCGCTCTCAGCTCACTGCAACCTCCGCCTCCCAGGTTCAAGGGATTCTCCTTCCTCAGCCTCCTAAGTAGCTGGCACTACAGGCACACACCACCACACCCAACTAATTTTTTATTTTTAGTAGAGACGAGGTGGTTTTGTTTTGTTTTGTTTTGTTTTTGCTAATTTTGTTATTTTTAGTACATACAGGGGTTCACCATGTTGGTCAGGCTGGTCTTGAACTCCTGACCTTAGGTGATATGCCTGCCTCAGCCTCCCAAAATACTGAGATTACAGTGAGCCACCATGTCCCCACCAGGAAAAGCTTTTATGCAAAACTTACCACAATGTTGTTTATTAAAGTAAAAAGTTGGAAATAGCTAAAATGCTTAACAGGAAGTAGAACAAGTAAATTATGGTACATTTATTTTTTTGTTTTTATTATTTATTTTTTGAGACAGAGTTTAGTTCTTGTCACCTATGTTGGAGTGCAGTGGCATGATCTTGGCTCACTGCAACCTCCGCCTCTCAGGTTCAAGCGATTCTCCTGCCTCAGCCTCCTGAGTAGCTGGGATTACAGGTATGTACCACCATGCCTGGCTAATTTTGTATTTTTAGTAGAGATGGGGTTTCACCATGTTGGCCAGGATGGTCTTGAACTCCTGACCTCAGATGATCTGCCTGCCTCAGCCTCCTAAGGTGCTGGGATTACAGGTATGAGTCACTGCACCTGGCCTATTTTATGTTTTTGAGACAAGGTCTCACTCTGTTGCTCAGGCTGGAGTGTAGTGGTACAATCTCGACTCCCTATAGCCTCTGCCTCCCAGGTTCAAACGATTCTCTTCCCTCAGCCTCCAAGTAGCTGGGACTGCAGGTGTGCATCAGCACACCAGGCTAGTTTTTGCATTTTTAGTAGACACAGGATTTTGCCACATTGGCCAAGCTGGTCTTGAACTCCAGACCTCAGATGATCCGCCTGCCTCGGCCACCCAAAGTGTTGGGATTATAGGCGCGAGCCACCATACCTAGCCAAATTATGGTACATTTAAAATGAGCTACAGGCCAGGCACAGTGGCTGTAGGCCCAGCAGCTTGGGAGGCTGAGGTGGGAGAATAAGCTTGAACTGGGGTGGTGGAGGTTGCCATGAGCAGAGACCGAACCAGTGTACTCCAGCCTGGTGACAGAGCAGGACTCTGTCTCAATAAATAAAATGAGTTATAAAACCTAAACAAATATATAGTTGCATGGAAAGATATATCCATGATACAACAATAACAAAGACAAAACACAAAATTATGTACATGTGTTTTTGGAAGACTGGTATAAATTAAAATGGAAAAAAATGTTTATGCACTATCATTACAACAATACAAGAAATCAGATACAGGCTGGACATGGAGGCTTATGACTGTAAACCTAGAACTTTGGGAGGCCATGGCTTGGGGGAATCGCTTGAGGCCAGGAGTTTGATACCAGCCTGGTCAACACAGCAAAACCCTGTCTCTAAAAAAAATTAAAAAATTATTGGGACTTGGTGGCACACACTTGTAGTCCCTGCTACTGAGGAAGCTGAAGCAGGAGGATCACTTGAGCCCAGGAGTTTGAGGTTACAGTGAGCTATGATGATCTCACCACTGCACTCCAGACTGTCTCTACTAAAAAATTAAAAAACAAATACAAAGAAAAACACATATATATTTCATTAGGAAATAAAGATTGAAAGATACCTGAAAGACAAATACAAAAATGTCTAAATCCTGGTAGTGGCTGGTTAGGATGGTAGATTATACAGATTTTAGTAAAAAAAAAAATTTTTTTTTTTTTTTTGAGACTGAGTTTCACTCTTGTTACCCAGGCTGGAGTGCAATGGTGTCTTGGCTCACCACAACCTCTGCCTCCTGAGTTCAGGCAATTCTCCTGCCTCAGCCTCCGGAGTAGCTGGGATTATAGCATGCACAACCATGCCCAGCTAATTTTTTGTATTTTTAGTAGAGACGTGGTTTCACCATGTTGACCAGGATGGTCTCAATCTCTTGACCTCATGATCCGCCCACCTCGGCCTCCCAAAGTGCTGGGATTACAGGCGTGAGCCACCACGCCTGGCAATTTTTTTTTTTGTTTCCTATATATTTCTCACTTTTAATAAAGACATTCAAAATTTTTCTACCCAGGAGTTAAATTAACCAGTATGAAGATTACATGTACCCCTTATTTCTCTTCCTCTATGTGTTACTGTGTTGCCTGAATATGGAGGCTACAATGAGGGAATCAATCACTCTCCTGTAACTGTGTTGCCTGCATATCTTTGGTTGGGGTAGTTATTGCAGGGTGGGGGCATTTTTACACTGAGGTCCTGGAATGGTAAAACTACTTTCCTGGATGAGAAGTGTCTCACCTGAGACACTTACGATGACAAAAGACACTCCCATGGTCATAGTCATTTATCAGGGCCCAAAAGATGTCGAACTACCATTGTCCAGAAAAAAACTTAGGGCAGACTAGAGTAGGATCTAAATATAAGAGACTAGCAGTAGCTCTGCAAAGTTCAAAGGAAGAAAAGAATTTCGGATTATCTGGGAAGAGAACGGTAGGCCATGAAACAGCAAAGTCCAGCCACAGAGATAGGCAGGGAAGGTCTTTCTTCCATACACAGAATGGCACTACATGCTGAAGTCACTTACCACTTGCTTCAAGGTTCTCCTCTTCCTGTTCTTCTGCTTCTTCATCGCCCTCAGTTTTGTAATAGGACTCCCACCCTGACATGTTGGCTACTGCTCACTAGGCGAAAAGATGTTAAAGTCAGTAACAGGCAAATTTACACTGAAAAAATACCGACTTCTAGGTTCTCATGAGATGTTTTTTTTGTTTCGTTTTTTTGAGACAGTCTCGCTGTCACCAGGCTCGAGTGTAGTGGCGTGATTTCGGCTAACGACAACCTCCGCCTCCCGAATTTAAGCGATTCTCCTGCCTCATCCTCCCGAGTAGCTGGGACTACAGGCACGCGCCACCACGCCTAGCTAATTTTTGTATTTTTAGTAGACACGGGGTTTCACCATGTTGGCCAAGATGGTCTCGATCTCTTGACCTCGTGATCCACCCGCCTCGGCCTCCCAAAGTGCTAGGATTACAGGCCTCAGCCACCGCGCCCGGCCGTGAGATCTGTTCTAAAGGCTTGGTTAATGAGGAATGTGGACAATGGATCCTGCTACCTCGAGAGCTCAGTAGTCGGACTGCATTGGTAAATGCGCCCGGGGGCCATCTCAGTAGCAGCCTCATCTCAGTTATCCTTCACGTTTCAGGGCCCGCGGCGGCCCGATCCCGGAGGTCCCGCCCCCGGCGCCATTTGGACGATGAGGGATTCCCGCTCCGGGATTCTGTGCTCTCTAAAGAACCCCCTCGTCCTCAATAGCGACCAAAAACCTCCCCAAATCCCTCAGACAATCACACCCAATGAGGTCTCAAACGCAGACAGGCCTCAAACGCGAGGTGCCGCCTCCTTCGGGAGGAAGGAGCGTGGTCACGAGTCTGTCTATACACTTCGGAGTCGCACTCTTAAGGGTAACGCTAACACTCCGGCAAGGCTATAGGGGTGCGCGAGACTGAGTGGGCGAAGCTGGAAGAGGCCAGACCTAGATGGCGAACAACACAAACGGATAACGGCCCGCTTACCTCTGGCGCAGGGAAGCGACCAACTTGGACAGAAGACGAGAATGCACGCAGGCGCGGGCCCAGTTCTCTCTCCCAATCGACGCTCCCTACGTCACACGCACGTACGCACGGCTTGGCGTCAGGCTGGCTCGCACACTTCCCAACCAGCTTCTACTTACGTCACTGACGAAAGCCAACCCACCAGCGGATTCCCGCCCACTCGCACAAAGCCCCGCCCCCGCCTCGCGTCAGGACTGTACGCACATGCGCTTAAGTGCGTCCCTATCCCCGTCCCCTCCCCCTCTTTCGTATGGACCCTCCCTGTCCCTTCTCTGTCACCTCACTGTAGTCGTTGCCGGTAGCGGGTGTGGAGGCGCGAGCAGCGCAGGGCGGCCTCTCCTCCGCCCCCCTGGCCGGGCTTGGGCTCGGGCCCCCTCCTCCCTCCGCTTCCCACCCGCGTCGGGTACGGGAAGGTCCAAGCCGCTGCCTGGTGCCCGAGGGCCGTCGTGGCCGCCGTCGCCACGGGTCCAAATGGAGCCGCCGAATCTCTATCCGGTGAAGCTCTACGTGTACGACCTGTCCAAGGGCCTGGCCCGGCGGCTCAGCCCCATCATGCTGGGTGAGGGGGAAGGGGCCAGGTGGGCGGGAGGCCGGGAGCCAGGCCAGACAGTGGCGGCTGGCCGAGGTGGGGAGACACATGGCCCAGAGGATATTAGAAAAGCCCGAGTGGAGAAGAGAGTGGTCTGAGGGTTGGGCCGTCTGAGCCTAGCTTTAGCCCCGCAGATACCATCCTAACGTTTGAATCCAGGGGGTAGGGATGAAGGAGTTACGCCTCCCCCTTGCAGGGGGCTCGGGCAGAAACCTAGCACTCGAAAGCCCCTTCGACGGGGATATGGGATAAACCAGCGCTGGATCCCGGCGGGTTCCCTCCCTCGCTCCGGGAGCCCGATGCACTCCTGCCTCCTTGGCGCGGTGTAGGAAAGATGAGGATGTCTGCCGCGCGGTGCCCCTCGTGGTGACAGAGACACTGCGGAGGTGGGGTGGCCCTCAGAGAACCTTGCCTAAGTGCCAAAAGGAAACTCCCTTTGCAGTCCCGGGGTTAGGTGGGGTGGGGGAGATAGCCATTGCCCCCAGGTATGTCAAGTCAGGACAACAGAAACCTGGAACTCCGGAATTCATCAAGCAGTCTTCTCCCCACAGTTTCAAATGGCAAGAAAGCAGTTTCAGGGGAGAGTTGGATGAGGTTGTGTCAATAAGGATTCGTAAGGAAAGTATTTCGGTTGTGCTCCATTAAATCAGCCTTCATTCAGTGACCATCAAACCTCATTCCAACTTAAATAGAAGAATGTCTTGTGTAACACAGGAATTATCAGGTTTGTAATTTCGGGTAATCATGAGTAGGAGAGAATTCCAATAATTGAAAATTGAAGCTTTGACAACATCCATTTGAATGGCTAGTTTTTCCTGGCTTCTGTGGAGACATTGGTGAATGATTTAGTTCATCTCTGTGAAACCAGGGAGCAGAGGTCAAGTAAGCCAGGCTACTTTTGAGGGCATCTTTCAATATCCTTGAGTTTCTAATATGTCATAGTTAATTGAACTTAATTTCACAACCATGGTCCCATGAGTGGTTTTTATATTTGACTTCACATCAAAATCATCTAGGGTGTCTGTTAAAAATGCAGATACCGGCCAGGCGCGGTGGCTCACGCCTGTAATCCCAGCACTTTGGGAGGCCAAGGCGGATGGATCACGAGGTCAAGAGATCAAGACCATCCTGGTCAACATGGTGAAACCCCGTCTCTACTAAAAATACAAAAAATTAGCTGAGCATGGTGGCGCGTGCCTGTAATCCCAGCTACTCAGGAGGCTGAGGCAGGAGAATTGCCTGAACCCAGGAGGCGGATGTTGCGGTGAGCCGAGATCGCACCATTGCACTCCAGCCTGGGTAACAAGAGCGAAACTCCGTCTCAAAAAAAAAAAAAAAAAAAATGCAGATACCTTCATTGCCAACATATATTGTTAAATGAGATTCAAAAAGACAAGGTTAGAACAGCTCTTTAAATATGCAAATCAAAGGATATATATGTGCTTGCTTAAGCAAATAATTACCCATAAGGATGCACAAGAAATTGGTAGCAGCCGTAGCTTATGAAAAGGGGAACTTGATGCCAGGGGGACAGGAGTAGAAGAGAAACCTTGCTGTAAACTGCTTCTTAGCTCTGGAACTGTGTATTACATACACTGACTATCTATTGAAAATGAGAAAAGTTTTAATTACATGGTTTCTAGAGTTTTACTTCACAAATACTAAATCAGAATCTCCTGGCATTTTGCTCCAAAAATCTATATTTTTAATGAGCTTCTCGCTAATTCTTATGTAGCCAATCCATTATTTGCCAGAGGTTTGGGCCTAGATAACCAGTTGTTAAAATGAGTAAGGCATATCTGAAAGCAAAACTTACAAAGTCACTGAGGAAGCTGTTACTCATTAATAGATTACATCAGTCAAGTTCTAACTAAACTTCTTGGAATGGAGCCATTTAGTTTTTTTTTTGTTTTGTTTTGTTTTTATCATGGTGAGGAATCAGATATATCCTAGACCCCTTTTACAATGGATTTTTTTTTCTATTACCTAATAATTATTGGGCAATAGCTGAAAGGGGCCTTAAGAATCATTATTTCTTTTCTTTTTTTTTTTGTTGAAGTGTTGCTCTGTCGCTCAGGCTGGAGTGCAGTTCTGCGATCTTGGCTCACTGCAACCTCTATCTCCTGGGTTCAAGCAATTCTGCCTCAGCCTCCCGAGTAGCTTGGACTAGAGGTGCACACTACCACACCCAGCTAAGTTTTGTATTTTTAGTAGAGACGGGGTTTCACCATATTGGCCAGGCTGGTCTCGAACTCCTGACCTTGTGATCTACCTGCTTCAGACTCCCACAGTGCTGGGATTACAAGCGTGAGCCACTGCACCCGGCCAGGAATCATTATTTCATTCATTCAGCAGATGTTTATTGAGTGTTTGCTCTATGCTAGTCAACGTGTTAAGGTAAATGAGGTTGATATAATAAACAAAGATGTTCTTTGCGATCATGGAGTTACCTAATGGGAAAGACATTAAAAATAAATAAATACATAAGTAAATACTTAGTTACAAATTGCACAAGTGCCTTGCTGCACAGGAAGAGAGACTTTTTTTTTTTTTTTTTTTTTGAGATGAGTCTTTCTCTCTTGCCCAGGCTGGAGTGCAGTGCTGAGATCTCAGCTCACCGCAACCTCTGCCTCCCAGGTTCAAGTGATTCTCCTGCCTTAGCTTCCAGAGCAGCTGTGATTACAGGCACATACCACCACACCGGCTAATTTTTGTATTTTATTTTTAATTTTTGTTTATTATTTTAATTTTTGTATTTTTAATAGACAAAGGGTTTCACCATGTTGGCCAGGCTGGTCTCAAACTGCTGACCTCAAGTGATCTGCCCCTGTCAGCCTCCCAAAGTGCTAGGATTACAGGCCTGAGCCACTACACCCAGCCAAGAGACTATTTTAAATAAGTGTATCAAGGATAGTGACTTTGAAACTGGGAATTTAGGATGAGGAAGAAGTAGCCGTAGGTGGGTAGTAAGGGAGTTACAGTGTTCCAGGCAGGAGAAAGATCAACCTGCCAAGGCCCTGAGATAGGAAAGAGTCCGGCCTGGTACTAGAACTGAAAGAAGCCTTTGTGGAGTGTAGTGGGTGAAGGGGAAAGTGCCGTAACTGAAGGTGGAGTAATAGACTTATCTGCTCCCAACTCTCTACCTTTTTAAATAGATACAAAGTCCTGGAAGGCCTCGGCCAAACATGGGAACATTACCTGTTGGGCACATCAGATTCTGATCTGAGGATATCACCTTGTCTGCTCATCTACTTCTCTTCTTTACCTAATTTTTCCATATTGCTTTTTCACCTTTTGCCAGATAATTGAAGAAAGAGTTAACAAAGCTGGTAGTCATTACTTTCTAGAGTTGAAAACTTAAGGGCTGGGTAAGGTGGCTCACGCCTGTAATCCCAGCACTTTGGAAGGCCGAGACAGATGGATCACTTAAGGTCAGGAGTTCAAGACGAATCTGGTCAACACAACGAAAGCCCATCTCCACTAAAAATACAAAAATTAGCTGGGTGTGGTGATGGTGGGCACCTGTAACCCCAGTTACTCGGGAGGCTGAGGCAGAAAAATCACCTGAACCCAGGAGGCGGAGGTTGCAATGAGCTGAGGTCGTGCCACTGCACTTCAACCTGGGCGACAGAGCAAGTCTCTGTCTCAAAAAGGGAAGAAAAAAAAAAAAAAAAAAGAGAAAATTTAAGGAAAATAGGCCTAATTTTACTGGTTCATCCCATTCAGACATCACTAATATTTTTTTTTTTTTTTTTTTTTTACTTCATGAGACAGCTGAACCACTAATCTTAAAGTTGGGTATGTCCCAGTTCTGTATAATTAGGCATATATTGATTTCACATTTCTAAATATGTTTGAACTTTTAAAAAATCAATTTGTGGCTGGGTGCAGTGGCTCAAGCCTATAATCCCAGCACTTTGGGAGGCCGAGGCGGGCTGATCATGAGGTCAAGAGATTGAGACCATCCTGGTTAACATGGTGAAACCCCGTTTCTTTAAAAAATACAAAAATTAGCTGGGCATGGTGGCGCATGCCTGTAGTCCCAGCTACTCAGGAAGCTGAGGCAGGAGAATTGCTTGAACCCGGGAGACAGAGGTTGCAGTGAGCCTAGATTGTGCCATTGCACTCCAGCCTGGTGCCTGGCAACAGAGTGAGACTCTGTCCCAAAAAAAAAAAAAATCAATTTGTTGGATCAGGCATGGTGGCTCACGCCTGTAATCCCAGCACTTTGGGAGGCTGAGGTAGGCGGATCACGAGGTCAAGAGATCGAGACGATCCTGGCCAATGTGGTGAAACCCAGTCTCTACTAAAAATACAAAAATTAGCTGGGCATGGTGGTGCACACCTGTAGTTCCAGCTACTTGGAAAGTTGAGGCAGGAGAATTACTTGAACCCAGAGGCAGAGGTTTCACTGAGCCAAGATCGCACCACTGCACTCCAGCCTGGTGACAGAGTGAGACTCCTCAAAAAAAAGAAAAAGAAAAAAAATCAATTTGTTTCCTGATTTCTATGATGAATTCTAGAAATATATTAATAGCCAATATTTACTGAGAGCTTACCATGTGTTAGACCCACCCTTTTTTTTTTTTGAGACAGGGTTTTGTTCTTGTTGCCCAAGTTGGAGTGCAGTGGCGTGATCCTGGCTCACTGTAGCCTCTGCCTCCCGGTTTCAAGTGATTCTCCTGCCTCAGCCTCCTGAGTAGCTGGAGTTACAGCCATGCACCACCACACCTGGCTAATTTTTTACTTTTAGTAGAGACAGGGTTTCTCTATGTTGGCCAGTCTGGTCTCGAACTCCTGATCTCAGGTGATGCCTCGGCCTCTCAAAGTGCTGGGAGCCTCTCAAAGGCATGAGCCACCACGCCCAGTTGTGTCAGACACCTTTTTTTTTTTGAGACGGAGTTTCGCTTTAGTTACCCAGGCTGGAGTGCAATGGCGCCATCTCAGCTCACCGCAACCTCTGCCTCCTG